ATCTTAGGTGTCTATCTACATATGAATAATTCAATAATTCACAGTTGGTTTTCATTTTTTAATGATATCCTTATGTGTGGAATTCATGTTGAACAGATTGCAACAGGAACAACGAAGGGAAGGGCAAGAAAACACACGAATATGCCGAAGGCCTTTTCACTATTGCTTCGTGTGTATATTCGTGTGTTTTCTTGCCCTTCCCTTCATGATATCCTTAGTACAAAAAATATATTTTCCCCATGGACTAGTGAATAACAATAGGGAAATACGCACCACTATCTACATGGCACTGAAGAGACAATGTTTTAAATTCTTGGCAAATTGTCCCATAAACATTTTGGGCGACCTGTTTATTGTCAACTTGATGATGATTTCACTCTTGATAAAAAAAAAATCGGTTTGAGTCTTGATATTGATAATAGTAATAATGTTAACGAAAATCTTTAAAATCATGATCAGACTTACACCAGTAAATGCAGTGATGATGACAACAGAACTGAAAATGGCTCTCTTTTTGGTAATTCTCTCTTTCATTCTCTCTCTCTACCTATATGTTTATCTATCTATATATGTATATATATTCATCTATCTATCTGTCTATATCTTCATCTCTCTCTCTCTATCTATCTATCTTATCTATCTCTACCTATCTATCTATAAACCTCTATCTATCCTATCTTATCTATCTATCTATCTATCTATCTGTCTATCTATCTATCTATCTCTATCTATCTATCTCTATCTATCTGTCTATCTATCTCTATCTATCTATCTATCTCTATCTATCTATCTATCTATCTATCTATCTATCTCTCCCTCTCGCCAATACCCATCTTGCTGTTTTCTATCTTTTGTTTCCTCTAAAACATAATCTTGGCATAATCTTGCATGTGTTAGGACCATGCACCATCTTCTCCAAGACGCCCGGATTAACTCTCATTAAATGGCTTCCAATAGGGCTGCGATCAGGGAATTACACCGTAGACATGGTCCCCTGTTTTGACGTGCTTATTGCATAGTCTTGTTCCTTGTGTTGACGGATGTGTAGATAGATATAGATTACGCAGAGGGATATCAGTGATGTATAGAGTACTTCGAGAGTTAACAGTGGCCTGGCAACACGTACATAAGGAAGAACATGGTGACTTAAGGCCTTAGCTGTTCCCATTTAGCCTTTGACAGCATTCCAATAAATTGTGAAGCGAGTACGAAGCAGTGGTATGAGTCACCTTAAACTGCGACAGATAATGGGTCATACTAATTACTGCCCGGGACTGCCTGGTGCTAATGATTCTACTGCCTGGCAAATATAAACGCATTATTTTCTTTCTTATAAATTTCATGTTTTCAAGGTAATTAAGGTAAGATTAGGCTCATTATTAGGGGACTTTGTCAACTCACAATAGCATTACCTGTGTTAGTTACGAGGCTAATCATAATATAATTAATTATAAAATACAAGGATTATTAATTATGAAGATAAAAGACAAACATAATGCCTTTATGCCAAGACTTTCGTTCCTTCCCTCTTTTATACTAATCCCCTGCGAACATGGCGGCTTGATACGAGTACCTAAAGCAGTATAGTCATAAATAGGCAAGTCAAAATCTCGTCTAATCGACCATGAAATAACCTGAAAATAAATATATGCATAGATTTCCCTAAAAACATTAAATTTATAAGAAGAAGAAAAGACAAATGATGCGTTTGTAGCTACCAGCCAGTAGATTTATTAGTACTTTGCAATACCGGGCAGTAGATTTAATAGCACTAGGTCCTACCGGGCAGTAATTAGCATGACCGCAAATAATCAAAGCGCAAGAAATGAGGAATGAATAGAGAAGGATCATAAAATGAGCGTAAAATTTTGATAGAATGTTGACTGTAAAAAGAATGCCTAACTATAACAATACACATAAAAATGGCAAAAATATATGTTATAGATATATGGGAAAATAATAGATTGATTAATAGTGATACCAGGGGCAGCAGTGATAAAGTCAGATATTTAGTGCGTGTTATTGTTCCTTCTTAGTTACCTCAATTTGATGTTGGAGAAATCTAACGTAAGGAAAAGGTACCCCCTAAAAGTAATCTTTAAGTTTTCTATGAATGGCAAAACGTGTACATTTTCTTTATCTTTTCAGGGATATACTAATATATATAGTAATTGAGATAATACTACTACAATTATTTCTACCACTACAGTTACATGTACATGTTTATGTAACCTTTGATAAGTATACAGTCATATGTCATAAGAAACCTTTTATTCACTTCCAGAAATTCGTTGACAATAAGAATGTTCACTTGGTGACAAAATCATGGGTACAATGCCCATCTATTTTTATCACAATCCATTTCAATTTCTATTACAAGATATTTCAGACCCCATCTACCTTACAGAATTCGCTCGAACAAATGTCCAAATATAGATATAGATGATGATAAGTAATTGTCATGGCTTGCTCTGTTTTGCTTACAGCTTATACAATCAGTGTTTTAGTTTTATTATTAAACATGTAGGGAACGTGTGTGTGTGTGCGTGTGTGTGTGTTGTGTGTGTGTGTGTGTGTGTGTGTGTGTGTGTGTGTGTGTGTGTGTGTGTGTGTGTGTGTGTGTGTGTGACCAGCTTGCTACATTTCACAACAAGAAGTAGGCCTCTCCAAATTCTTTCTTAATTATCCTGTCCCCTATTTCAGCCTCCACATTTTGTTATTTTATCAGGAACATCGATCTGTCCATTTCTCTCTTGGCATTTATTGGCTTCCTCTCGAGTACTTTGGTAGCAGATGTTATTATTTCATAAGGACATCCAATCAGTCAACTGTGGTACTGTCAAACGACGAGAGAAAGAGTGAATAAGTGTGTCTGTGTAGAATGAGTTAGTTAAGAAATTTTCACTTTCAAATTTTTTAAGACTCGACGAATATGTAAAGAATTTGAATCCAGTTTATAAGTAGTATAGTACTGACCACATTGTGTATTTTCATAACCATGGGGTTGAGATTCATTTATGATAAAAGAAATCATGGTGATTTTTTGTATTTTCCTAGTGCTATGACCATGATTATTGTTGCCAATATCATGAATACTGTAGCTTTTATTAATAGCAATGATATAATAATAATATTTATTATCATATTACTACTGTTGTTATCCTCATCATCGCTACTGCTATCACCACGATATATATATATATATATATATATATATATATATATATATATATATATATATGATATATATATATATATATATATATATATATATATATATATATATATATATATACTGTGTGTGTGTGTGCATTGTCATTGTCAATAATTTCTGTTGCAAAATCATATAAACATCCTTATACGTAAATAATCTAATTCCGTTTTTCCTAGGAATTTCTCGAAAGCGTCATCGTACTGTAAATTGCACTCAGCTGCCATATCCAAAGGCGACCATTTCAAGCTAACACTCACCTTTCGCCATGAACCAATTTCAACACATTTTGAGCGGTTTCATCTATCAAAATTAATGTTGTTCATTATCGTGTTTCTCTGAACATTTCCTTTTAATCTTTTGTTCTTTTTAGAATATCAAAGTTACCGATTTTCTTTTATATTGCATTGCATTCTTCCCAAGATAGTTAAAAAACGTATGTAACTACTTTTTGAAAGACAGCAATGGGCGAATCTAGAAAAAAAAGTTGAAAATGGGGTAATTATTGTGGAGGCAATAGATTAATAATAGTGTTAATAGTGATAAAGATCATAATCTTAATAGTAATGAAAATAAGGATGACATCGATACGGATAACAAAAATGATAACAATAAGGATTAAAATGATAGTGGTAATAATATTTGTTATAATAATAATCATAATAATAGTAATAACAATCATGATAATGATAATAATAATGATGTCAATAACAAAAAAAATATAGTGATAGTAACAATAGCAAGAATGATAATGATAATACAAGTAAACAAATAACTCGTATCATCATCATTGCAACCATCACCATCACAATAACACCACCAAACCACAGACACAAAATTCCCCTCAAAGGAGTGTGGGCGTGTCAGTGTAGCCATGCTAAGCCCGGTCTCGATTTGTCTCTGGGTGGTCAGTGTAGCTCAGGCTCTCCAGGAAGGAGGTTGTGTGTATGTGGTGTCTCGTTGGTCGTGGTCTGTGACTGAATTGTGTGTGGTGGATTTTTGTAGTTCATTTTTTTCATTCTTTGTTACTTCTTTTCTTGTTTTGTTGGTTGTGATTCGGTTGCGTGTTTATCTTTGGTTGAGTTTATGATTTGTATTTATGAATATTTCCCCCCCCCCTTTTTTTTTTTTTTTTGCTTTTTGTTTTGTTTTGTTTTGTTTTTCGTCATATTCATCAGGAATGTTTTGTTTCAATTGTAAGTTGCTTCCGGTGTTAATATTCTAGTGTTTTTTTTTATTATTATTTGCATTGTATTTGTTATTATCGAGGTTCATTTTGTTGTTGCTATCTTTATCCATGGTGTCATCAGTCTCCTATTATAAGTAAGATTACCATCATTCTTTTCTACAAAGACTGTTATTATTCGTAATTTTAGAATCTTTTTCTATTATTGTTCTTATCAGCATCACTAACAATATTACCTCATTATTGTTATTATTGTTGTTCTCATTATTAGTATTACTATTATTTTCATTAGTATTATTATCCGTTAGTATCATTATTATTAATATAATTTTCATCTTTATCATTATTATTATATAATCACGATTTTTCCAACATTATTTTAATTATAATTATGATTATCACTATCATTATCATTTCCTCATTATTATTATTATCATCGAGATCATCATCATCATCATCAACAATACATTATAATTTATACATCATTGTTATTTCCTTCACTATTGTAAGACTCATTATGATCAGAGTAACGCTGGTAGTACTAGTAGTAACGTAATGTAGCATTGTTGCAGACGTATATGCAACACTGTATTTTTTTTCTCT